CTTACGTGCCCAGATTTCGCATCATGTCCAGGAAAACTTTCCGGTGTAAGTTTAATTAATTAGATGTTACATATAATTTGTTTGTAAAATGTAGTGGTGCAAATTTTATTGGTGCAGAGACTGCAGCGATTATATGTAGTTTGTAAAACGTTTGAAAATGAAGTGAAAATGAAAACATTTGCAGTCTTCCCCCACACTTAAACACTTTAGTCAAATTTACGAAATGCGTCATGGAAGTGGTCAAGTTCTAAGATTGCAAGAGTGGGTATTTGGACAGGCCCTATGTTTTACACATGTTTTCTGAATCGGATACCATTGTATTCCTTAGGTCCCTAAAAACCCATGCGAAATTCCCTTTTTCTCTTTTGGGTTTAGGACTACAAACTGAACAACTCTATGAGGATGAATTATCTTCACGAGCCCATGCTGGTGCATTTCTGAGCTTGAAAAAGAGATGCTATAATGCTGCACCATCTCAGTGATGCTGCGTTTGGCTGTCGTCGCAATCTGCCTCCCTTCACAGACGACTCATTATGCATCTAAGGAGAGGGGGGGTCTCGTCTCAGTGTAATAATATCTCATGCTTGGTTAGAAGGCGGCTGCATAATTAGAGGTAGGAAGTCTGATGGATGGGGGAGCGGGGTGGTAGGATGCTGAGCAGTGTGACCCCACTGACCTTGTTATCATTATGGGTGGCAGGGTTGACCAGTCCAGCCCCTGCTTCAGCAAGCAGCTGTTGCCTTTAATGGCATCATTTGCTCTTCACCTTGTCACCCCCGCTACCATTCTCTCTCTAACTCTCTGTCTTTTCCTCTCTGTGGTATCTCGTCTCATGGTCAAGGGCAGCTAAAATCACGCCAAATCTGACTGGCAGCCTCATGAAGGTGAGGACTCAGGTAGTTATCTAGTAATACACCACCAAGTGAGGTGGATTGCTTCGAAAATGTTTATAAAATACCACCACAAATTATTTTTAATAAACATTTCCAAACAAATTACATATCTTCCTTTCTGCTTGATTACAAAATATACAGCCCTAAAAGTATATACAGCCCTAAAAAGTATGTGTAGACTTAAGGCACATGTATGAATATTATTGCAATATATAACAAAATATCAAAACAAGTTGCATTAATCATAAAGAAAGATAATAAGCAACAATATATATATATATATATATATTATTTAGACACTTACTGGTTGTAATTGTGAGAACTAAACCTGCATAACTGAGTTAACATATCCACTAAAATGACCAGTCAGGTCAAACTGCACAAAAATATTTTTTTAAGTTAATTTAATATTTTTACAGATGCCACTCTTGCTTTGGTATTTTCTTGTGATGTGTAACAAAATGGCATTCAGACATTTGTGACAGAACAACAGAAAGAAAGAAAGAAAGAAAGAGAGAAAGAGAGAGAGAGAGAGAGAGAGAAAGAAAGAAGGCAAAAAAGAAAGGAAGGATTTTCTTAACGATCCAACAACTTTTTGTGCAAGTAAGGATGACAGAGACGCAGATGTTCCTTTTGTTTTTCTCCATTACAATTGCTGGAAATATTGCTCGGTAGCTGCTTAACAAATGTGTCATTAAAATCCAGCACGACTGGCTCGCTTTCGTTATGTGCGAGGAGGTACATGAGCGAGCACGTGTTGGGGGAACTTTCAGCTTTAAGAGAATGATTCTCCTGCTGTGGGATTAAATTGAGTTCTCTGGTAGCTTGATGAGTCAGACTCATACGCACACAGTCTGAGGCAGCCTGAAGGCCAGACGTCACGGCAGACTCTCCTGAGCTCACTGATTTTAAGTGGCAGTTCGGAGCATGGCCATCTGCACTATTTGGGTCAAGGACTTTGCGTTTTGATGTGCATATAAGACCATGCAGTGCAGTGGTTAATGCTAGGTGGTATCTCAGAGTAGTGAGGGTTTGGGAGAGCTCCTAAGCAGGTGTACTGTCTGAGAGATAGGGAGGGTGAAGCGAGAGAGAACAAGAACGAAAGCTGCAGAGTGCCGCAGTGCTGGAGCTCACCTTGTCAAGCCACTCTCTGCGGGAAGGCCTTGCCCTTGCAAACAGGCGGCATCTAAACCATGCAGAACTGGAAATACTGGCTTATTAAAGGAATATTTTGGGTTCAGTACAAGTTAAGCTCAATTGACAACACATCACTGCATCATTTTGTCATCATCAAGTCCCTCGTTTTCAAAGCAAAAATGGAGGTTAGAGTGAGGCAGTTACAATAGAAGCAAATCTGACCAATTTATGGAAGACTTAAAGTCACAATGTAATGGAAGTAGCGACAGATCAAGTCTTCCATATTGGGAAGTGGACCACACCTGAGGTAAACGGATCATAGAAGACTTTTTTAAAAAGTGCAGGACAGGGACTTGTCTCACAGATTTAGAGTTACTCTAAGGAGTTTCTCTGCTAGGACCGGAAGATCAGATTATGACATTCTGATTTAAAATTACACTCGGATAAAAAAACAAACAAACCAAAACAGTCTATGCATGGATGAATTGTTCACAATAAGATCATTAAGACACATAGATAATAAATGCATACATGTGAATTTCATAATTTAAACAATTTTCCACACTAAAATTGTGTTACAATGCATATTTGTTGGTGCATGGTGCACATGTCTGGTGACTTATATAGAAACAATAAGTATTTGAATGTTTACCCCTTAGGAAAATTAACCATGGTGTAGTAACCATGTTTTTTTTTTTTTTTTGCTGGATTGATTACCATTTGTATACTCAGTTTTACTACAAATATCACGGCTAAGCTATGGTTACTTAATACTTAGTGCAGCAAGGGATAATGGTTAATTTGTGGTTACCATTGTTTTGTGGTTTTATTTGTTGTTAAACCATGGTTAATTTTTGTAAGGGACAGATTGGCCCCTTTTACTTCCATTGTAAGTTCCTCTCACTGTTGTTCTCAACTGATGTTTTTTTTTTAAAGAAAAGAAGAGTGGAAATGAATGTTGTAGTAATCAACATTATGCCACAAATGTTGTCATTTCAGCTTAACTTGTGTTTAAGTTGTTTGTCTTTATTGTAGATACCCTTCGCAGAAGCTCAGTCGCTCTGAAGAGGCTTCCGTCGAGCTCACCGGGGTAGTTCGCTCCATATGTTTACTTCTCTTGGGTGTTTCTTCTCCTTTCCACTATTTTGCAGCCTCTGATTCCGGCAGCTTCAAAGAAGAACAAAATAAACACAAATGCAAACTTCTCTCTTCGCATTAGCGCATCACAACAAGAAGCTGCGAGGGGATCTGACAGAATCTTCTCTGTCTTTATCGCAAGAGATATCAAACAGTCAGACTAGTTCTGAGGCAGCAGTTAGTTAGGCTGATGCCGTTCCAGACAGCTGTCATGGAAACAGATGTCTGTTCGGTTACAAGCTGCAGCTTTGCTCCCGTGGTAACGGCTTTGATTGTGACTCGCTGTGTCTGCTCCGAATGTGGTTTCCATTGAAGTCCCTGCACAAAGAGCCCTCATCATGTGATTGTTGGATTCATTAGTGGAAATTCCCCTACACTTCCTTCCAGATTTGAGGGCCCGAGTCAGCTGTGACATGGTTTTTGAAGAGAGCAGAGACCAGATGTGCTGTAATGATGGGGTGTTTTTTTGTGTGTGTGCCTCCTCCTTCCCTTAATAATAAATTATCACCGTGTCTGATTATCAAACAGCCTTCAGATGAGATCTAAACGTTAGCAGTTGAAACAACCAACTTCCATAAATATTACAAAATGAGCTGATCTACATTCTCTATTAGGCTTGAGGACAGTTTTCAGCTTCAGATCCCAAAATAAGACTTCCATTAGACATCTGAGAATCTGCTGTACAAGGTAGGCTCAAGAACCCTAAAGCTGTGAAAGGTTACGAGCACTAAATCCTCCTTGTTTTCACCAGGCAAGGACAGTCTGAGTCTCCTGACCTATAACTGTTGTCCGTACATCCCGCTCTGAAGGTCTTGGATCTCAGCGGGAATTCAGAGGAGCCGAGCCCTGCAAGCGAAGGTCAGGACGGACCGCACTGAGGCCCTTGTGTTGAGATTCTCACCTCTGTTTATTTCATAAAAGAGAAGATGCCTCCACTCCTTCTCAGCCTGCTGTGCAGCTTATCTGTATTTAAGACAACACTCAAGGCTGGTCTAGACGCAGGCTTAAAGCAGAAAATCGGACAGGACAGTTATAATTAAAGCTTGAGGAAAAAAACGTCAACACTAAGAGAGAATTTCTGGAACATTGAACATGGACAACAGGCTAGGAGTCTCACTGTTCAATGTTAAAGATTAGTTCACTCAAATGAAAATTCTGTCATCATATACTCACTCTCATGTCATTCCATACCTGCAGAACACACAAGATATTTTTTTGATTGATAAACTGAGGCCCATAAACATGACATCTTTCATTGTATAGTGACTGTTAAGTCACGCAGATTTGGAACATGGGGATAAATAAACAATTACATTTTTGGGTAAAATATTCCTGGAAAGTTTAGAAATCCTGTGTAAAACAATTTGATGGAATGGGATGACGCTGTCCCCAGGTATCAGGAAAAATACTAAAAACAATTTAATTAGGATAACCATCATGTACTTCAAATAACCCAAGTGAAGAAAGGAAAGACTCACTAATAACTAAGAGCAAAGCTTGTTTTTTGTGAAGATAAGATCTAGTCCATCAAGTGTTCAGCATGAACTGCAGTGACACCTGCTGTTCGCGTGGAGGCATTTCAGCATTAGTGCATTTTGAAGCAATGACGATTTTTCAACTGAAAACACATTTGTGATAAGAGCAAGATGAAACATTCAAAGATAAGGATCAATAATACATTACCGTGGTACAATATTAGTCATGTTGGAAACTAACAGCGGCACACTCACTACAATTATTTTTTGTCACTTGTAATGCACCCAAAAAATGTCCTAAGTGCTTATAGGCTAAAAGAGTGTCTGAGATGGAAAAAATAAGTACCAGGAATCAATCTCAGGAACATGACAATTTAATTGACAGAACAATCAAAAACAAACATTTTAGATAGACATCACTCTTCAGAAAATAAAAAAACTTGTTTCAAGTGTTGTTTGCAACATCACAACACTAGCAAAACAAGATCAAAATAAGAAAAAGTGCATTAGCCATCAAGCATAAACAAACTAGAGCCACACAGCCTAGGCACCTAAAACAATGCATCATTATAAAATGAATGTGACAACAGTGTGCTAACATGGGGGCTTTGCTGCTCCCACCCTGGACAGTCTGTCTGCCTCCTCATTGCCTGTGTACCCAGCATGACCTGGTACATGCATCTAGAAATGAAGAATAAGAGAGATATTCACTGAGAGAGAGAAAATTTACTGGCTATTCCATGCATTTGTTTTATTGATCATTGTATAATGCCAAGCACTGATGACAACATTGGAGAGCGAGCAGAAGGGTTCTGATGTTTAGTGCTGTAATGACACAGTCCTAAAAATGTTTGTACCACAGAAATGCTAACCTGACTCCGCCAGATGGATTTGCTCCGCATATCCATCTGGAAACCTTCCGTTGAAGTAGTTTTGGTAAGGGGCGAAAATACTGGTTAGCTGATTGGCCTATGTTGGTGATAGACGGGCCAAATCAACCAATCAGATCAACGAAGCATATGACGTACTAACAGAGCGTATCTTTTCCTCTGAGAAAAGCCTCCAGAGCAGTGTTTTGCTCTTCTTTCAGTGAAGAAATACTCTGTAATTCCGATAAAACTTGCTCGATAGCCACGCTGATGCTAGTTTCATCCGCTGAAGCCGACATGTTCTTTAGACTGAACTGACGCGCTTCTCGTTGCGTCACACCTCAACCCGCCTCAAAGCCAACGCTGATTGGACGTTCGTTTGGTGAACTGCTCCCAAATTTTCTTTAACGGAAAGTATCCAGACTGATCTGCGAGTGAAACCTTGAAAGCTCGCGAGATCAGGATGGTCTCACGAGGCTACAGAAATGCATGATATGCTACAAACACAATTGTTCCTTCAAAAATGTAAATATAAAATTAAAACAAATAGCCTCCAGGTATCTATCAACTTCAGTTCTCAATTAAAGTTATGGCATAGTCATTAATAGATGAAAATTAGATTTATTATTACATATATTGATTTCATGTTGTTGGAGTTGGACTCTGTAACTGAATTTTTTTTTTTTTTCCTTTTATCTGACACTGTGTTCATGTTTGATTGTAGAGTGCAACTAAAGTTATCCAGCAAATATCCTAAACATTTTGATCAAGAAGTACAGTACATTGGAGCGTTCACTATAACCACGGCTCATGCGTGTGGTGCTGATGGAGGAGCCGGCCAATACGGAGCCATTGGATTTCATCAAAAATATCTTAATTTGTGTTCTGAAGATAAACAAAGCTCTTATGGGTTAGGAACGACTCATTAGGAATGAGGGTGAGTGACTAATGAACGAATTTGAATTGTTGGGTGAACTAATCATCTGAGATATCAGCTTTAGCAAAAATTATTCAAAGAGATGCAAGACATCTCATTGCGTGTTTATCAAAATTGATGGACTGAGAAAGTCTACAGCTGCACATTTACATGCTAAAAGAATGTTTATACACTAAGGTTGGGACACCATGCTTGAAACGCACAAGTTATACGCACAGAATAGCAGATGCCATATTGTACAGATAAAACATACCCATACGACCTCAAGGTCTGCATTTAGTTTATCCAGCTTTTGGAAGTCTTCCTTGTTGATTATGACCCCACCACTTTTAAGCCTCCAGCCATTAGACTTCCAGGTCTTTACCCAACTTGTGATGCCTTTGGAAAGCAAAAAAATTATATATATATATATATATATATATATTATAACAATAAATACATTATAAAAAAATAAAAAAACAGTACTACACTGATTCTTGACCAGACATTTTACCAAGATTTTGAACAGAAAAGCAGGGAGTGCATACCATTTATGGTGAACTTGCTGTCCGTGTATAGTACAATCTTTTTAAAATTCATTTCTCTGGCCTGCTCGAGTGCCTTGCATGCAGCCTGTGATTAAATGTTTAATGATACAGTTATCGATAACAGGTTATAAGAAAGAACTCTGTTTGTGAGCACCTCACAATTTTTACCTGTAATTCTGCTCTTTGGTTGGTCTGCCTCCCTGAAAGCCTCTCAGCCACATTACTGAGAAAAGAATGAAAAGTTAAAAAATAAATAAATAATTGTATATATATATATATATACCGTATATATATACACACACACACAATTTTATATATACCGGTGTATGTATATATATATATATATAAAATGTATGTATTTACATTTATAAAAGTAAAAATATATATTTTGCAGTGAGGCAAGAAAAGATGTTGAATTATAATTATTTGTTGAACACTGGATATGAAAGCATTGTTGTCTTTAGTTGCACTGTTTGTTTTTCCAGAATGCCATTAATCAAAGATGACTTACAGTGGATGATCACGACCCCAATATACACCAATTCCTGCACGCGCTCCTCGTCTTCCATTGGCGGAGCAACATCCATCAGTGTACACCACTACAGAATCACCTGAAAACCCCCCCAGCAAAAAGTAGCCCATTTCATTTAACTATGGTAAAACTAACAACGTTAATATTGGTCTACTAATTCTGTTTTGATTTAAATTGAAAATGTCCATTATCTCCAACAAGACTATTACACACAATAATTACCCATATAGGTAAATCCATCACTACTGGCTGCAGCTGTCTTTGACAGTGGGACCTCAATGAGTTTCACTCGTTTCGGACAGGAAGGTCCCTCATCTTCAGAGTCCTCATGGGTTCTTTTACTTCCAAGGGGTACAGCCATTGAGGAATCAGGCACGTTTCTGGGAGGCAGGACCTCATAGTCACATCCTTAAATGCAAACAAAAAATAATGTCAATCCCTTGCTTTATAGTATAGTTTCAGTAGGGATTCAATCTTCAGCTGGCCGCCAGGAGCCGCCACTGGCAGGTCACGTGACCTGTCAGTGGCTGGCTATTTGTCTGGCAGTCTGCCTTTGGCAAGTTTCAGAAACCATTGATTTTTGAGTTTTTGTGTTTTGTGTTCCTCTCTTTCTAGCTCATTTATTAGGAATCTGTTGATATGATTATGTTCTTTAGTATGATTGATGTTTTGGGGACTGTTATCCCAATATAACCAGTCAAATGGCCATGATCAGACTGGCAGCTTACAGACGCTTGCTCGGCGCTCATCCAGTCACTCGCGGCTCATAGTGCGAGTATAAGGCGTTGCCTGACACTCTCGCTACAAGGAAATAAATTGTTTCCTTATTATGAATATAATGTCATGCCTTTATTCTTGTGTATGATTGATGTTTTGGGGACTGTTATCCCAATATAACCAGTCAAATGGCCGTGATCCGACTGGCAGCTTACAGACGCTTGCTCGACGCTCAGCCAGTCAGCCGCGGCATTTGATAAAATTTGATAAAAGAAAGCTTTTTAATAATTCAATAAAAGAATGCCAACTTTAACGGTAAAATCACTTACCACAGACTGTATCACTATTTTCATATTTACAAAGACTATTTACAAATAAAACCCAAGAAAAAAATATCTGGCTCTCTCTCAATATATGGTCATTTCACATGACACAAATAGAGGCACAGCTTACCCCTCTCCCTCCTGTATACTTTCCCTTGAACACCTGAAATATTGTTGATGATGCATCATTATGGCAGATCTTTATAGGGGTGTATAACATCTTTGATATTACCAGTTGGTCTCCCAAAAGATGGTGCTGCAGATTGGCTCCTCACAAAGGCCCAAGCATCCTTTTCAGAGCCAAACTTCTTATAACTTGCGGAGGGAAACTTATCCACCTGATGTTTACATTCCTCCCTTTAGGAGAGAAATAATGCGTGGTCATGCAATGCAATGCAGTGCAACAAGCGCTCACAAGTACAGAAAATAGTCATATAGCTTCCTGTTCACCATGTTTGGTACACTCCTGGTTTAAATCCTTTCCTCACAGCGTAGAAAAATGTTCCCTTCTTGCCCATCTCTTCTGCGGCGTTACAGAGAGTCCTGCGTACAACATTGAAAAACCCAGGCAATCTCAACATAGTCTCTGCTCAGGGCAGAGTAAACATTACAATATCCTTTAGTCGTGGCATTTGAAATGACAATAACCATAAAAATAACCTGACAAAGACTTTCACAAAATGCTTATGGATCCAACAGTTTTGACTTTCGTTTCGCTAGCAAAACCTCCACAGAATGTGCACCCACCCACGTTGACAGTCGGCTGACCAAACGCTTTTCTTCTTCTTCTTCTTCTTCGTTGTTTTAGGGCAGTTGGGATCCAAAAAGTTGCATTACTGCCATCTGCTGTTTATTATCACTTCTTGTCACCTTAATACTTATATTCGTCTTTCCAGTCCAGCCAAACGCTTTTCAGATTCACAGCTTCTCCTCCCTTCTTCTTACATTATAACTCCCCCAATCCAGTTCATAGTGCGTTACCGCCACCAACTGAATGGAGTGTGGTGGACATGTTGCAAGCTTTTTTTTTTACAGTCTATGGTTGCAAGGAAGGAGACAACACTGAGATAAAAATAATACGAAACCAGCGATAAAAACATTGAGTTACATGGCCTCGGTCTTATTAAAAGTGGGCGTTCAGAGCAATATTATGTAGATGCTGCTCGTTCAGAGAGATATTTCATTTTAGTGAGTCGAAAACATTCAGCGCGACCAGTACAGCCCGATTTTAAAACATTTGACTCTTATGAGCCGATTCTCTTTTGATCCACGAACATTCTGCGCGACAGCGTAGCTCAATCTTTTACTGTCTATTACTATGAGCTCAATTCCTAAACGAATGACTCGTATGAACCGGTTCTTTTTGGTGAATCGTAAACATACAGCACACCAGTACGAACGAATGACTCTTATGAACAGACTGTAAAAAATGGCTTATGAACAGCGGATCTTTGTAGTAACTCCTGTAGGTTGTTAAATGATTCCAAAAAAATAAATGAGTCGTACTCGCGAACTTTTACAATGGAACTCCATTTGAGAGATAACCTGTAAAACATGATTAGACATGTGTTTTTAAACTTCCTCATAGATAGCAAGTCCGTTAAAAAAAACTAGCCAGAATCCCTGAAACTATTTATTTATAATATTGTATAATGATGTTCTTCAATTAATAAAATTAACAAAATATTGCACCTATTCCTTTACACAACATGATAAATAAGAAGAACGGGCGCCCTCTGCAGTCGAGGATGATGATTACATTTCCCATAATGCAACACACCAACACGCTTTTACCGGCCTCTCGCGAGAATACGGCCTCTTCCCAGGCCGTCGTTGATAGAGGTGAGTCTACTGAATGTGCCCAGCTAAAGGGATATCAAGTTAAAATGTAGAAAATAAGTAATATTTACCTCCACGCATGAGCTTCATATGTTGTTTTCACTGAGATGCGTTAGATGCGAGTATGTACGAAAATGGATGGCTATTTTAGAAACAGGAATTTATAAATGTAAGATGTGCTAGCAGACGTGTCTGTACTACAGTATTACTGCGGCCCATGTGGTGTTCTAATATGCCCGAAAATGCCTCTATTAAGTAAAGTACTATATATTGAAGACTTATATTTGTGATAGAATTAAACTTGTAATGTAAATGTAGTGATTCTGTGCTAGCTAATCAATGCTAACGGCATGCTAAGAACACACTTCGAGTTACTAGAAAATGTTTTTCTTAACGGTAGCCGCCTAGCCGGTGACTTACTTAGAACAGCCGTAGTTAAAATTTGATTAATATAATTAAGAATTCGATTAAATGCCGAGACATTTTGGTTAATTTATTAAATTATGGTTTCTTATGAATAGCATGTCACCTAGCTTACCTGTAAGTTACAGACGCATCAGATTGTATGTCACTTTTAAAGGGTAATTCAATCAATAATTTTGTTAATTTACTCACCTTCATGTTTTTCCAAACCCGTGGCTTGCATCTGTGTACCACAAAACGAAATGTGCGTAATGTTATGACCTGACGGCCTCAGCCTACATTTTATGAAAAATTAAGATTTTTTTGAATTGTGAAAGTTTAGGTTTGGAGCAAAGTGAGGCTTAGTAAATGACACCATTTTTTTAAAGTGAAATAATCTTGCTATACTATGTCGTGTTTTCATTCTTACAAGTCTGTTTCTGTGTTTCAGACACAGGCCATGTTCAGTACCAGTGCGAAAATAGTAAAGCCGAATGGCGAAAAGCCAGATGAGTTTGAGTCTGGCATTTCCCAGGTATAATTCAGTAACTCATGATTAAAAAAAAAAAAAATTTGATATGCATGCATCTGTATCCTCTTCGACCGTTCTTATGATAAACTTCAGTCTGTCTCATGCAGGCCCTTCTTGAGCTGGAGATGAACTCCGATTTGAAGGCTCAGCTGAGGGAGCTCCACATCACTGCTGCTAAGGTAAAAACTTGGGTTCATTCATTTTGGATGATTACCATTGCAGTAGTTCAGCTACAGCACTAGTACAATAAATAGCTGTTTGAACTGATAATTGACATAACCAACGTGGACATCCTGTGAGATGGCTCTCATGTGGCTCTGTCCGTGTGGCGTAAGGGAGCGCAGCACTTTGGTGCCATGACGTACAGTCCCGTTCCACGACGTTGGATAGCAAGCTTGTCCCCGGCCTCTGGCTGGTGTGGACGGCGTCCTGTATATTCCTACATCTTCCCAGAGCCCTTTGTGCCGTTACTGGGGAGGTAAACCATGCAGTGCACATGCTCTCCACTGTAAAATGTAAAACTTGAATTAATACTAGGTTGTCTTTCGTAGATTAATGCATCGTGTGCCTGTTCACACTATTCATTCTCTCTCTCTCTTGCAGGAAATTGAGGTTGGTGGTAGCAGGAAAGCCATCATCATCTTTGTGCCAGTGCCCCAGCTGAAGTCCTTCCAGAAGATCCAGGTGAGGCTCGTGCGTGAGCTGGAAAAGAAATTCAGCGGCAAGCATGTGGTGTTCATCGCACAGGTAAGACTCGTCCTTTTTAAGCATCTGATTTTTAATGTAGAACAAGTGTTAGCTGTGCTGTACTTTGTATTTATTGATGTATTTTAAGTTGCTGCTAAAACTCTCCTCTAGTGTTTAGTGCAATGTTTTTTTTATTGTCATTTGGGGTGGAATTTAAATGACCTCATTAAATCCAAATTAAACTTGTGGCTTTAGTCCATGTCTGTTCTTTTGAGGCCATTGTTTATGCTAGTGTGATTCAACACATTGATGTTAACATTCAAATATTCTTTAGATTTAAAAATTGAGCTTACCTGTGAAGTTTGACTGGACAACTAAAAATTTTAAATGTCCAATCCAGTGCTCTCGAGGTCAAATTTGATTTGTCCAGTCACATTACGCAGGTATGTTCTATTAAAATTAATTTGTCCAAATCAAATGCTCTTTAGATTTAAAATGCTCATCTTCACCTTGCACTGACCTATTGGATATTTCTAAAAGGTTGAGCCCTTTTATATCCTGCCAAACATCCTGTTTCAATTGCACAGGGTTGGCACTGGACCAGATAACACTTGTCAAGTCATTTCATGGGGTCCTTAAACTTTGCCTTTAACATGAATCTTAGCCTTAAGACGCCTTTCCACTGCACACGACAAACGGCAGCCGTCGGACCGGACGTCATTCATTTCCAATGGAGAGTCGTACGGGAGCTGCGGGGAGTTCCGATCATATGCGTATGCTGAAAATTTGGATCCGATTTGAGCTTTGAATCCATTGAAATATCTGAACTTCTGCGAATAGACCTTATGCGACTGGATGTGATGTATTCTAATCAAAACTATGAGCGAGGCTAGAATTACCAATATTTTGACTAACGTTATTCTGTAAACTCTCTTTCTGTACAATGTCGGTTAATTATGGCAGAAAAAATATTTTGTAATGATAAATCAATCTTTATATTGATTAGCTCTATAAAATCTTATGTTTTTATTTTTAGATGTATTGAGGGTAATTTGTTTTGTGTGGATGTATTCATGCATGCATTATATTCATAAAAAAAAAAAAAAAAAATTACCATTGTGAATAGCCGAGGGTAACGGTTACTCTACGAACAATTTCAAAGTTCTGTGCGACTGACACTAGGGGGCGAAATGCGACAATCGTATGTGAATGTCGTCGTGTGCAGTGGAAAGGCAGCTTTAGTGTGATTTTTGATTTACCAACGTGGACATCCTGTGAGATGGCTCTCATGTGGCTCTGTCCGTGTGGCGTAAGGGAGCGCAGCACTTCGGTGCCATGACGTACAGTCCCGTTCCACGACGTTGGATAGCAAGCTTGTCCCCGGCCTCTGGCTGGTGTGGACGGCGTCCTGTATATTCCTACATCTTCCCAGAGCCCTTTGGGCCGTTACTGGGGAGGTAAACCATGCAGTGCACATGCCATTTAGAGCCACAATAATGTGATGTTGCTTAAGAATTAGCATGTTGACAACCAAATTAATGGTTTTAATCTTGATCTTTTTTTCCAGAGAAGAATCCTGCCTAAACCCACAAGGAAAAGCCGCACAAAAAACAAGCAGAAGCGTCCCAGGAGGTAAATGTCGTCTTGTTGCATTTTGGAAGCTGTGTTTGCGGAGTCAGGGTTAGTAGTGCTTGCTTTCTCAGTGTGAATTTGCCTACCATATCAGAGTTGTGCTGATTGGCCTTGTTAGCGTGTCGTAAACCGACGTGGACATCCTGTGAGATGGCTCTCATGTGGCTCTGTCCGTGTGGCGTAAGGGAGCGCAGCACTTTGGTGCCATGACGTACAGTCCCGTTCCACGACGTTGGATAGCAAGCTTGTCCCCGGCCTCTGGCTGGTGTGGACGGCGTCCTGTATATTCCTACATCTTCCCAGAGCCCTTTGGGCCGTTACTGGGGAGGTAAACCATGCAGTGTACATCCAAATCTGTTATATTTAGGATGTTTCATGTTTTTAGGTGACTTGAACCTAATGTTTAGTGGATGAACACTGAACTTGTCCACTTAATCTGTCTTCTCCTTTAGCCGAACTCTGACTAATGTGCATGATGCTATCCTTGAGGACCTGGTCTTCCCCAGCGAAATTGTTGGCAAAAGGATTCGCGTGAAACTGGACAGCAGCAGGCTCATCAAGGTCCACCTCGACAAGGCACAGCAAAACAATGTTGAACACAAAGTGAGTACTACTCTTCTTAAATGCAGTAACCCAACGTGGACATCCTGTGAGATGGCTCTCATGTGGCTCTGTCCGTGTGGCGTAAGGGAGCGCAGCACTTTGGTGCCATGACGTACAGTCCCGTTCCACGACGTTGGATAGCAAGCTTGTCCCCGGCCTCTGGCTGGTGTGGACGGCGTCCTGTATATTCCTACATCTTCCCAGAGCCCTTTGTGCCGTTACTGGGGAGGTAAACCATGCAGTGCACACTATTAATTGTTAAAGTTGGGGTTCTATTTTGGGATTTGTGATGAATTATCAGGCAATCCTAATTTGATTTGTTTATGTAATCGTTCTCCGATTGTTTTTATCCTTGACTTTAACTGGAGATGTTTACCTTTTGAAAAACCCATCAATTAGTAGGCTATGCTCTAGCTTTATTTTCAGCTCTCTACATTTCAATTTATAAGTGACTGTCACAATTTCTTAGTCTTTTCACTGAATATTAATTAAGCTAATTTGTGGTTCTTGTTTCAGGTTGAGACATTCTCTGGTGTCTACAAGAAGCTTACAGGCAAGGATGTGATATTTGAATTCCCGGAGTTCCAACTGTAAAGTGCAGATGACAAAATAAATTTGTTTACTGTCATGTTCCCTGTCTTTTTTTTAAAAAAAATTACCAAGTCATTAAATGTTTTGTTTTTGTTTTTTATGTGGTCTTATGAGTAAGCTGTTAGTTCATGAAAGCATTGTGGCAGAAAAGGATGGTTTTCTGAAGTGGTAAGGATTGCTATGACTTCACTCTTGTCTGGACATAAATGTTCATCAGATTGCAGTGTCACATGTGTTGGCCCCCTTTTTTTTATGGAGGCCACAAAGATCAGTATCTTTTATAGTGCCCAAACTCATGCCTGGCTTAATCCTGGATCCCAACAGATAAAGATCTAAACCAGTCCATCTGTGATTATGGTGGTGACCATTTTGGCAGGAGTTCTACACCGATAACATGTTGGTCAATGCCCTGTACTATTGTTGTAACGAAGGAAAAAAAGATCAAAGCGTTTGTTCAGCCTTTTAACCCTCTGGTGTTCTTCGGTCGTTTCCGACCGGAATTTTTTAAATAAAAAAATGTTAAATCGTAGCTTCATCGGAATGGTACGAAACTTGGTGACTTTTATGGTACTTAGTATATGAACACACAAAAAAAATTGGGGACATGATTTGAAAAGTCTAAGTGGTCGTAAAAAAAATAGTCACACTCATGGCCTTCGGTCAAAAATGACCGGCCATAGGATATGAATGGGAAAATGGCAAAAATATGAAAATACAGAGGTTTTTTGTGCGTACAATCTACAAATCAGCCACGATGCAGAAAAAAAGCATAACACAGTGAAGGGGTGAATCTCTAAAACATCAAGAGTGCAAAACAGACAAATACACACACACACACACACTTATACACACAAAAACACACGCACACAAATGAACGTGTGTCATTGCAAAAGCTAATTTTGGGAAATGTGTGAAATAAAAGCAATTATTCATCAATGTAAGGAATAAAAAGCACACAGATATGAAAGCATGAGACTGTAAGCCATCAAGGTTGCAAAATAGACATGCTCACACAGACACAGACACACACACATAGGGAAATATGAGACTGGTGAAACTGTAACAGAGAAATGTGAGAATATGTGAAATCAAATCAATGAATCAAATAAAGGGGAGACATTGGGTCCAAAATGCAAAGGTCACACACTATGTCTCTCTCTCTTGAACACACGCACACACACACACACACACAGTGTAAGATCAAACGATGGAATTCTTCCCTAGTAACCTCCAGGCCTATTGCAGCACATATGTGGTCTTTTGATGTGTTTATTGGAGGTTGAATTCAAATCAAATACTGTCAAACTACCCATACTACTTCTGAATAGGATGTCTACTTCATAAATTGTATGAAAATTATGGAAATACATGGTTCAGATCACTCAAAACATATATGAAAATGGAGGCGCCCTTATATGGTCAGTAAGGAAGCTTGGCGTTCCATGCATCTAGTGAAAAAGTTTGGTATGCGCCAAAATAAAATCTTGACTGAAAGCTTATTTTTTGAGATATCAACCTAAAATTTGGAACACAACTTCTTAAGATTTTTGGCTTTCATTTTCTTGCAGTTTTAGAGTAAAATATATTTTATAATATATATATTTTATATAAAATATAAATAATAAAAATTTTACATTGTTCATTTTTATTAACTCAAACTTTCATAACTTTTTTTCTGTTTCACTTTCATAATTTCTTTCACTTCTACAATAATCTGGCAAATGTCTTCTTTAAAACAAGACCAACCATAGGTCTATATTCCAAAGCATTCTTGAATTACAACCATTTAAGTTTGGATAGTGATTTTCATGTCTATGCGAAAATAATATAATTTTTATTTTATTTTTTAAAAATAAAATAAAACAACCAAACAAACAAAAAACTTGACAAAAATAGTCTTTGAGAATCACTTATTATAAATTAAAATCCACAACCTGAAAAAAATAGGCAAATATGTGCAAAAACAACTAGAATTCACAAGCCTTTCTACAGAGGCTGTAAATCCATCTAGTGGTTAAAATATGATATTGCATGATAATTATGCTCACTACATCCACCAGATGGCTCCAATGTGATTTAAAAAAATGTTTTCTGTAGGCCAAGGATCCACTTTAACCTGAAATACAGCATTAATTAAAAAATAATAAAAATAATATATATATATACATTTTCTATTATATTCAATGGGAAAAAATTGATCATAATTATTGCATAAATATTAATTATTTTCATAAAATTCTCTCAAAACACAAAAAAGAAAAAGAAAAAATATTATTGAACAAAAATAAATTTCATTGATTTTACTGAAAAAAAATAAAAATTGATTTCAGGGGTCCGGTCACTTCTGACCGCGAAGGTCTTGAGTGTGACTGGAAAACGAAGAACTCCAGAGGGTTAATATTGAAAGATTGTATTGTCTGTCCAATGCCACAGGTGAATGAAACTATTTTTTTTTTTTATGAAACGGGGTCATGATGTAAATGTAGGTTAACCTTGGTTAATTTCAGTAGGGTCAGATCTGTACTATACAAGTAGGTTATTTGTTTTATATTGAATTGAAAATGAGTATTTTAAAGTACTGTTTAAAAAAAAAAGTTTTACTACAACTGTTCAAGCTTGTAATGACCCTCCTTGTGGTTGCAGTTACAGTCTGTTCGAGACCATACAAAATGTGCGTAATTATTACATAATCAAGCAATGCAAGGTGATAGTAAAGAAATATCCCACCACATGTAGGTTGTTAAAACGGAGATATTCAGATTTATAAAATAATTGCACGTTTCTGTTCTTTACTCTAGTTGCTACAAATGACTCGCGCTTTTATTTAAGAATCCATTCTGTACTTTCATAATATTCAACGGTGACAGTTGTTGATCATAAATGATGGACTTCGCTCTGTTATAGGCTACAGTTTGAGAGGGTAGGTAAATATTATCAGTCAGTCTATTATATCGCAGCGAGTAAGCGATTCTCTACCGTCCTCTTCTTAGGTCCTTGTAATATTAAACGAATTGAATTTGAAACAATAATTACCTCAAATCTAATTCGCATTAACATGGCAAATCGACCTATACAGAAGGCGGCCAGCAGTCAGCCACATTTCCTGCAGTTCAACAACCTCGCATGTGAAACAGCTGGAGGAAAGGTGAATAACAGTGCATTTTAAATATAACAAACAATGCCCTATTTTATGAGATTTTAAATATGTTCTATGTTATATTGCATTTGCTAATAAAGTACTAACGTTGTCATTAAAGGTGATTTTTGCCACAGATGAGTGGTTTGCCCCTGCCAGAAATCTATTGAAGGTAGTCATTTTGCTTGTACTCTGGTAATATTCATGCATTCAAACTTTTCTAGAATTATCTGATGTTAAAAATTTTGTTCTAAAATGACCTGAAGCGAGACCCTCCAGAATTCATAGCCTCAGCGTTTACTGAATATGGGAAATGGATGGATGGCTGGGAAACCCGGAGGAAAAGAATTCCAGGTATTAGTCCATTTTCACAAATCAAAGTTCACTGTAAAACTGAAATAGGGCTCTGTGTGTTGTGTTCCTCGTTTCTCTCTAATGAGTGAGTTCCATTGAACCTGGATGAGTTAGGGTAGCTGCAGGCTACATCCTTCTATCATCCATTCAGTTTCTCTGAAGATCTGTAAAATGAACTCATGTGAGAAAGATGTACTGCAACACTGAGATGCTTCCTCATCTGACCAGGCTTTCAGGGCACGTTTTGTAATCTCAAAGAGTGCTCCATCTGTACTTACAACAGATTTAGTTATCTCATGAAAGATGCATGTGTCCCTCATCTTGTGTTAAAGGTCACGACTGGTGCATTGTACAGTTAGGAGTTCCAGGAGTTATTCATGGCTTTGATGTGGACACATCATTCTTCACGGGGAACTATGGCCCATACGTCTCCATTCAAGTGGCCTGTCTGGGTAGGTATCTATGGTCTGTAAGTATACGTTAAAGGATAAAGTTTAAGGTTACCTTGATTATATCTAATATATGTCACTTCTAAATCAGATCAGATTCCATTGTTCACTCTTGAAGGAGATCGTACAGGCATGGCAGCTTCCCCAAGCCAGTTTGAAGCTGTGGCAAAGGTGTAAAATATCGTCTAGTGTGCTAGATCATGCATAAAATCTACAGTCTGTGTATCTGAGGGAACAGAACTCAGTCTGAATTTTTGTTGAACAGCTGAATTCAGACAGCTGGAAGGAGATTGTCCCGATGACAGAGATGAAGCCGGGTTACTCTGAATCATGCCACAACTACCTGAGTGTCACCTATCCACACAGAGTTACCCATATCCGCCTCAACATATATCCAGGTAATACATGTTCAGCAACATGAATCATTCGATGCAATTTTAAAAAATTACAAAACAGAGAATGTGATCATTCATAATAATAATAAAAAAAATTGCCTGGGGAGAGATGCTACAACGGAGCAACATTATAGAGAGCCATTTATTTTGTAAAATGAATACAAATGAAGGCTTGTAAAATAATACTAAAATATTAACGTTTTATTTATATACCACCTTAAAACTGGAGAGTATGTGTTTTTTCCAAATTTTTTATGTGGTATTTTATTTACTCATTTTTCTTAGCGGATGATTTCTTGCCCAAGGTGCCTACAGGAAAAGATTCTTTCAACGAATTGTTGAAAGAATTGTAGCTCTGAATTAAAGCTGAAGTTTGTCATTTGTAATTGCGTCACCAAACAGAAAATAAATATAATAGCATTCCCCCCCTGCCTGCCATTGCGGTCAAACTGTTAGTCCTCAACTAAACCATACTTTAAAGTGCTACTTTTTTTCAGTAGCCTCGGTTCCGTAACTATTTTTCCCACAGGGTTTAAAACAAAAATGTCTAAATGTAATAAGCTATGAACCTGCTACGAGATGAAGCACAAAATGACAAACTTTGATTTGAAGCATAAAAGTATTTGAAAATCTTTACAAAGAGACAAAAGCTACAAGAATGAGTACCTAATGGCTTTAATGAGGGGAAAGAACCCCATAAACCCCAATTATGTGAATAACATAATTGAATGTAAAACGATGGAGAAATATCAAACAATTTATTTGATGTTGATTCTATATAGAAACAAGATATTTAACGTTTATATACACTTTTATATTCTATTGACTGTTGCTCTCTGTTGGTTGAGCCAATGAGTTTGTGTTGGGCTGGTTAGGATGCTTAAACAAACAAAGCAATATTTTGCTACAGTGTTTACACTTTTTCTGGAATATCAACCTACTTATAGTTGTTTCTGCATATTAAAATACAACGTCCAAAAAACATCTCAGCTTTCATTTTTTTGTTCGATGTTTGCAGATGGCGGCATTGCCAGGCTGAAAGTCTATGGCATTGGGAAGAAGGACTGGTCCACTGTGCCTGGCCAAGACCTAGTGGATCTTGTTGCCCTGGTTAATGGAGGCGTATGCGTAGGCTACAGCGATGCCCACTACGGTCACCCACGCAATATGATTGGTGAGTGATTCTTTGGACTCCCAGCCAGACAGCACCAGATCCGGCCACATCTGGTACACGTGAATTCCACATGGCCCAGATGTGGGCCAAATCTGGGCCGAAACTATGTTGCTGTCTGGGCTGACAAATTGAGAAACATTTTAAAGAGGCATTATGTTTTTTTTGTTTTTTTTTTCAGTTGAGCCAAGAGAAACATCTAAAATGCAATCTCTGCTTTCATTTAGGCTTATCATAAAAAACAATCCATACTTAATTTTTATGAATACTAAACATCACTTCCCAATAAATAAGTTAAGGTCTATTTAATGATTGTTTGGAGAAGATTATGGAATATTATTATTAAATTAGAGATTTTGAGATCTAGATCAGTACTTGATTGTGATTGTCTGAATGTGTGCTTCTCTGTAGCCCTAGGGAGAGGTGACAACATGGGTGACGGGTGGGAGACAGCCAGACGCCTGGATCGGCCCAAGATTTTAAGGGTAAAAGCAGTCTTGTCATTTTAGGAAACATCATAGACATCAGTTATACCCCACACAGGTCCCATATATTACTTTTCAGGTGGACGAGAAAGGCATATTGCAGGTACCAGGCTGTGAGTGGGCTATTCTCAGACTAGGACATCCTGGCATCATAAGCAAAATTGAGCTAGACACCAACCACTTTAAAGGTACTAGAAGTATTCAATATTATTATTATTATTTTTAAAGTAGGCTAATTCAAATTTTATTGCATTTTCTGTCTAAATGTTTTCCATCTTAAATGACTTTTGGACTGTCTATTCATAAAATAACTCCTGAAAGAAATGTAGCACGGTTTCCACAAAAATATTAAGCAGTACAACAACTGTTTTCAACATTGATAATAGAATTGTTTCTTGATCACCAAATCAGCATATTAGAATGATTTCTGAAAATTCAGCTTTGCCATCACATGAATAAATACATTTTAAAATATATTAAAATACAAAAATAGTTATTTTAAATTGTAATACTATTTCATATTATTACTGGTTTGGTTAGCATAAGAGTCTTTATTTTAAAAACATTAAAAAAAGCTTACTGACCCCAAACTTTTGAAACTTTAAGCTTGAAATATGCTTTTTCTTTTTTTATATTGGCTATTTAAAAAAACAACTATTGTCTTAGGGAATTTTCCAGACTCCTGCAAGATCGAGGCCTGCAGTTTGACCCCAGATGAGGAGAACAATTTAATTCTTAACCAGTGGCGCTCTGACAAAAGCCCCAAGTGGAGAATCCTCCTTCCTCCTCAAAAAGTATGAATTGCACAAATTTCATTTGCCTCCATCTTCAACTTTATTCCTTTTTGTTCTCTGTAAATGTGATCACAATCTTCCTCATCTAGCTGAAGGCACACCACAGGCACTTGTTTTCTGGGGAGTCTGTGGTGCATTGTGGGCCTGTGACTCATGTGCGTCTGGTCATAGCCCCTGACGGAGGGGTCAGCAGACTCAGGGTGTGGGGTCGACCGGTGTCCAACAATGTGACTCACCCTCAACAAATCTCCAAACTGTGATGCCATCATGTATTTTCAACACCTAGTTACGGAAGAATGAAGCTCATGACATTAGCTGTGATATAAAATATTTACACAATAAAATGTTAATAATTGTGGTAATTACAATACTATATACAATAGTATATATAGTATACAAATACTATACTATACATTTACCTGATAGTGGTACAGTAAATAAATGAATTTTATTGTCAATAAATTTCTCTCATAACTTATAAAATGTAACTTCACTCATTTTGTTTGCCTCGTATATTTCCAATACTGACATTTTAGATATAAAAATAGTTTTGAAAATACCTATTCTGTCATGTGAATGTTTGCCCAGATCTGGTTTCATTTTTAAAGCAAACAAAACAAAGGTGTGAGAAAATGCTGACCAGTCTCAAGTTAACCCACATGATTTGTATGTCCATAGACACGTACAGTAGCATTGGAAATATTCTGGGAATGATCTAATACAAAGTATAATATTTTAACAAGTAACATTTTTGCAAACATTTGAAAAGTTCTGCTTGCATACATCAGAAACAGCTCTGGGATATGATAATAATTATTGTTATACTTAAAATAATGAATCTAAAATTACTAAAATACTCGTAGTAATACTACTACTAATAACTCATATTATTTTAGTATTTTTAATAGATCTTTTCACTGCTATCAATAAAAGTGCTATATTATAAAAGGAATAAAAGTGTATACCGGTAGTTAGAATTGAATAGAATTCATGCATGATGTGTCCTTAGGCATTATTTTCTCAAATATTTCTTTGACATTTTTCCTATATAGGAACATGAAGCAACGTCTTTGATTTAAAAAAAATATGTCTTAAGTCAAGAAACGAATTGGAGCTTATCTCTATTTACATGAAAAGTTGTTGACATATTCCTTTGACGTTTCTTCCACTATGCTTATCCCTCGGAACAGTTGATTTAAAAAACAAAAAACAAGGTGGGATTTTGACATTCAATGACATGTTTCAAACTTTCTGGCATTTACTCTGTACAATTGCACAGATAGCTTCTGCAGATGCAGAGATTTTCCATTGAGCTGTTTTCTCCCCCCAATCATTTTGTCATGTTTCTCCACAGATTAAGCCAGCGGTCCATAGCAGGACAAATTGTGTCGGCATAGTTGATAAGGATTCTGCAGGAGTCAAGTGCTATCAGGTCAGGCCTTCTGTGCCCCAGCCATATAAAATACAGTCTGTGGACTGTGGACCTCATTCATGCAGAAGAAATGTCATTGTGCATGCAACCATTCCAATGCAAATTGTTGCATTAAATTGAATACAAACGGTTCACATTCTGCTTGTGTTTCATGAATGAGGTCCAATGTGCTGGACACATATATTCATTGAATCGGAGTGAGAAAAGATGCCACTATTTTTACAAAACAATAAACTACAGTAAATTCATATTTAAAGATTGCAGCATGGAATGACAAAACCCAAAACAAAATAAGCAAAATTAAAAACCCAAATATGATTATGCATATAGTTCTAGATGTCCTTGAACAGGCTGAGCATGTGGAGACGTAGACAGCACCAGACATCTCTCATTTCTCTGGAGTCAAACAGGCTGCATTGTGATTAATTACAGTATATTATGCTCACTCATGCAGACACATGAACACACTCGCTCACACACACTCGGGGCCCTTTGCCGCGGAGGAAGAGAAGTGTTTGTTGGGCTGAGCTTAAATGACAGAGGGGGCTGAACTGCACACTCAGCACTTTGCTTTGAGAAAAGGTCAATGTGAAATATCTGATGTGTCTTTATTAGTATGAAATATTTCAGCTTGGTTTTTCCACGCTGAATATTGTTGAAAAAATAAATATTTGCTTGTGCTCATATGTTGCCATCCAGATGAGTTTATCATGCTTTTCTCAATTAATTGAAAGCAGGTTTCATTGTTCAGAAAACATGTTCCTGCATGGTTTCACAGACAATTAAGGCTTAAGATAGTCCCAGACTAAAATGCACTGTTTGCATTGTTTTGTCTCAAGTAAACACTAGTAATGTTTTTTTCTAAGGCATGTTCATAAATGCTACTTAAATGTATTTAACTAAGGCCTAACCCTGGTTTAATCTAAGCCTTGTCTGGGAAAGTTCTTAATTTTTTCATTTAACTAAAAACTTAGTCTCCGATGTTTCCTCCTAAAATGTCCAAGAGAGAGAAAAAATAAGTCTCAAATGAGAGGATATGAATATGGCATAGCGTAGATCATTTAGTGTTGGAAGAATCTGATAAGAAATATATTAAATTGAATCGAACTGGAGTTGAATTGGAAGCTCAGATTTTTAAGTGGAGACTTAGTATTAGGGTTATAAACTAAAACTAAAGCACTAAGATCGTTTCATTAATTGAAATACATGTCAACTGAAATAAAATAAAATATGAAAAACGTTTTTATTTCAGCTAAGCAATGTTTCTCATTTTGTTGTACTAAAATAACTAAAACTGAAGAAAAAAAACCCCCTCTAGAAATATATATAAAAAACTAACAAATGACAAAACGCACAACAAAATGACCATTCAAATTGAAATGAAAATGGAAGATATAAAAATAACTAATCAAAATATTAATAAAAACTTAAAATAATAGTATCTCAATACTAAATATGATACTGATACTAAAATAACATTGCTTTGTGTCTGGGCAATCAGAAGGAATATGAGATTCTTTTTCTCGTTCCATTTGCTCTCAATTTAATCCCATTGCTGTCTAAGAGAAACATTTGTAATTTTGCTTATGGGATGTAATGCATTTAAGAGAAAATGGGAAATGATTTTAAAGAAGTAATGTGTGTCTGAACTCTGAATAAATATTGTGGATTTTAGATATTTTTATGTTCAAAAGATTTCAAATTACTGTTACATGTTGTAAATGCATTTTAAAACGAATTGAACCACACGGCGCTATACATAACATTATTATGTCGCTCTTTATAACTTGTGCCAATGTATAATTCCTAAGCAGAGACATTTGACTCCACTGTCACCACATAGGCTACTGTTCTCAGATGGTGTGTTAAAGCCAGTGCTCACCAGGAGGGGGCGACAGAGGCCCAACAAACCTCCTCTGACCCCGCGGGTAATGTGAGACTTGTGTGCATCTGTGCATGACCTCTCTTCTGTCTGTCACTGTTTGTGTCTCTCTGTGGCACGGTGTGTAATCCACTGGCCCCAACAGGCTGTAAATTTAGGACACTCCAAATCACTCTTAAAGTGCGGTAAACTATGACCTGTCATCGTATGGACAGGAACTACAGTAAAATGCTTTTGTCTTCAACAAAAATAAGCATATTAAGTTAGGTAAATACTGACAGAACTTTCATTTTTTTGAGTGAACAGTTCCTTTAACAAACTTTTCTCTCATGCAGTGATGGGATTGTTTTAACCCAAAGTCCCAAACCCTGAAGCTCTGTTAGTGCACATAGTCAGTGCACATTGATGAAGTGGTTAAAAAAAAGAAAAAAATATTCATCTACTTCTCATCACCCCGAGGTAGAGAAACATTTCACCTAGATGCCCTGATCTGATATGAAACTCTCCATGAAATTCAGATTTGTAATACCATCTCCCTAATACATACACACAAACACACACACACACACACACACACACACACACACACACACACACACACACACACACACACACACAAACTCCCTTTCTGCCTCCACCTTGCCCTCCTCTCTTATTCGTCAGCCCTCTCCATCAATATCTGTCGGTTGGCTGCCAAAAAGAAGGATATGCTCAGGAATTAACTCTTTTTTTTTCTTCTAACCCTTCCCTTCCAGCATGTTTGGATTTTCTCTGTTTGATCTGGACTGTTAAATAAGACGAATGCTATTAGAAATTCATGGCTGTGCCGTGGCATCAATAAATGATTAGTTTGCAGTGCTTGCCAGTGATTGATTGGCTGGGCAGGGGATGTATTGGAACCAGACTCATTCAATGCCACGGCGAGTCGCTGGGGAACGGCTTAGCTTATCAGTGCCTGAACAACTTAAAGTGCTGTTTGTTAAGAAAGGTAAAAAAGGAAGAAATTGAGAGAGAGAGAGAGAGAGAGAGAGAGAGAGAGAGAGAGAGCTGTGAATTAAACACAGCTTGTAGTTAATTGCATTTATTTACTCAGCTCTGATCAATTTAATATCCATAAATGCATCTTTGCAAAAAACATTTTAAACCAGTAAATCATAGTCAAGGTATATTAATGACTGTATATTATGCTGTATTATTATGATATACTGTGCATATAAAATATGAAAAGTACAGTACAGTAAATACAGTAGTTCCTGTGATGGCAAAGCTACATTTTCAGTGTGATCATGATCCTTCAGAAATCCTTCTAATATGCTGATTTGGTGCTTTAAGAAACGTTTCTTATCAATGTTGAAAACAGTTCTGCTGCTTAATATTTTTGTGGAAACATGATGCTTCTTTCAGGATTATTTGATGAATAGAAAGTTCAAAAGAACAGGATTCATTTGAAATATAATGTTAAATATAATGTTACTTTTGATCAATTTAATGCTTCCTTTCCAAAAAAATCTTAATTGCTCCATATTAGTTACTTCATTTTGATTGGTCAGTTGAAGCATTGAGCGTATAATGATGCTAAATTGTATATTTTACCATTGGTCATGTCAAAATATGATACTATATACAGTTATACACAATAAAACTGTATTATTCCACAGTCTCTTTCTTTTCATTTCAACATGTTAGAATAGCTCATTAGCGCCATCTCGCAACTCAGAGCAGTTACTACTATATCAACTGTAATAAAATTGACAATTATCGAAGACTAAAAATATTAAATGTAATATACTGTATATGGTGAGCATAAAACATTTTATAGATGACTGGAAGTTTAGGAGTCCCCAATTAAAGTGAAAAAAAGATAATAAAAAAAAAAGTCCCCTTGGAAGAACAGGTAAAAAACAAAAACAAACATGCAGGTAAGAGAATATCTCAATATGTTTGGTTGAAATGGAGATTATTAGTATAGAAATTAATATTTGTTTGTTGCAGTGTTTTTATTGTTACTTGTCTTCTAAGGTCTTTCTTAGTGGGATCTTAAGATAACAGAATAATTAGAATAATTTCAGGGATAATGTATACATTCATCTGGTCACTTTCACAAAATAAAACCCTTCAGATATTCATTTTGTGATGATTTCCGGCTGTCTGTACATTATCCCTTACCTATTTGTCAAACAAAATTATGGTTTTACTTTTGTGCTAACATGCAGAGTCTTTAAATCCTAAATTCTATTTGATGTAGTCTTCAAATCGTACAGACTCAGACCCCAAGTTCAATGCCAAGTCTGAGTTGAGAGCAGCCAAGCAGCAGAAAGAAGTCTCCAAAACTCCCTGTCTCCACTCATAGGGGGGTAGACCTGCTAACGGGCCGAGCGTGTGTGTGTGTGAACACCTTTAAGCAGCGATGCTAATTCACAGGCTCGCAGACGCCGTCTCAGACAGAAGGCAAGAAAATCAGTGCTGCGAAGCGAATATTTTAGCTCTGCTCAAGCTCAGATAGAGTCATAAATTAATTCAGCACTTACAGGGAGTCCTCTCAACCTTGCCAGAGTCTTTCTCAGTCTCGCTTTTAGTATTTCTCACTCTCTTTTATTTTATGTGGGGTGTGGAGACCACCATAAATCATTCATCTCATCATAACCAGATCAGACAGACGATTGTTTGGGTCATACAGTGAATCTTAAAAAAAAATAAAAAATTCTCCGCTGCTCAGACTGCACTGCTATTTCCAACGGCAATGCAAATCAGTGCTTTTTCTGATGGATGTTTGGGCATTTACATTTTTTGGTATACTAAAAAGACAGTTTGCAAGATGGATCCATTGAGGGATGCTATAAAGATGTAGTTGTGCATTTTTACGACTGTCCGGATTCCAATATGTGTATTAAAACGATGACCTTTAGTGATGAATGCTCTTAATGTAACCTTGGGGAAGTGGATATTTGCAGAATTGACTCCCAAGGAGAGCTCCAAATACACCTCATACCAGCTCGTGATTGACACGGTGTGTTGCTGGTCTTGAGATTCCTATTAAACTCACTCACATATTCAGCCACCCGTCAGCAGCATCAGTGTCAGTGCCACTTCACTGGGACGGCAGCCAGAGCCAGCGTGGCAGCAGAGGTCAAACATCTCTCCCTCCCGCTTAGGCCAAATCGCATTTCAAACACCCGCTGTTGAGGAAATTAGGCCCTTTTTCTCAAAGTTTATCCACAAGCACAATTTAGGTGCTGGAAATTAAAGCCATTTTGAGCTAAAAGGTTTAAAGAAGTCAATTCGGTGGTTGTGGAAACCTTTCCAGGTAACACTCTTTTGGGGGGGCTGGGCTTTAACAGTGATTGACAGGCTCATTGAGTCCGTTCATTGTTGAGGAAAGGCAGAAGAGGGCACAGAGTGGGCTGTAAGTGACTGAATGAGTGAGTGAGAGAGTGTCAGCGAGGTGAAGTAACACTGATTAATGGCCTTTCTTCAGAGGGCAGTGTGTCCACCGCCAGAGATCGCCGGATAAGACCACGGAGAGGACCGTTTGAGGTGCATCTGCTTGTCGATTAGGTGCCTCTTTCAAATCTTCAGTGCAAAGAAAATAACACGGTATCTAACTGATATTAGAAAGCACAGAGATAAAGATGTTTTCCAGACTTGATTGTTTACGTGTGGTTATTAAGGGCAGTGTAAGATGATTTTATCTTTTAACAGGCAGCGTCTGAAGTACCGATTGGATCAGTGTGACAGAAAATGCCATGACAGAAAATGAGAGGAACTCAGTCTATTTCCCCCTATAACAACCTCAGACCGTGGGTACTCAACTATCAGACTCTACAGTATTCTGACACAAATTCATCTATCACTTTGCAGAAGTTAGCCAAATTAAGACAAAAATAATTGAGAACCATTGAGATCTACACTACCGTTCAATAGCTTGGGTGTTTTTTGTTGTTTAAAAAAAAAGAAGAAATTAATACTTTTATTCAGAAAGGGCACATTAAATTGATCAAAATATATAAAGACATTTATATTGTTACGAAATATTTTGATTTCAAATAAATTGTTCTTTTGAACTTTATATTCATCAAAGAATCGCGGCAACAAAAATATTGCAGCACAACTGTTTTCAACATTGATAATAATGATTCATATGTTTCTAGAGCATCAAATCAGCATATTAGAATGATTTCTGAAGACTTGAGTAATGATGCTGAAAATTCAGCTTTGTCATCACAGGAATAAAATATATTAAAACAGAAGACGGTTATTTTAAATTGCAATTGAAATTTTTCAGTATTAGGCCTACTGTTTTTACTGTATTTTTGATACATAAATGCAGCCTTGGTGAGTATAAGAGACTTCTTTCAAAAACATAAAAAAAATCTTACCAACCCCAAACTTTATATGGTAGTGTACATGAATTCTGATTTGTTTTATGAAAAACAAAAAAAAAGGCTCCCGTTTATGTAAGTTCAACCTAAAAGGACTTTTCTATGGAAATCGAGACTTGTTTGATGATGTGTAATCGTTGGTCTTTGTTTGCCTCTCACTCAGGAGTCAGGGAGTGAAAATTGAGCCAATGGATTTCTGCCACTTTACAGATTGTACATATTACCATAATAGACAACAGCGAAGTTGCTCAGGACATAAGCAGCAGGTATGTTTATAACTTCAAGCTTCATTTCCATGTTTCTCTGTTTAAATCTGTATTATTTTGTAGAAATAAGTCTAACTTGAGGCATTGATTTGAAGCAACTTTTGTATACAAATTTAGCAATACATTTAATGATTTTAGACCTAGTCGGTCAGTTTCGGCCTTCAAAAGCACTCTATTTCTCCTCACAGGACACTATAATGCCTTTTCCCCAACTTTGTGTATTTACACAAGAAGAATCCACATCAAGGTTAACCGTCAAGCTCATTTTGTGTTCATCACAAGCATTTATTCACACTTAATGATCTCAGCCGATTCATCAGTCAGTCAGCTGGGCATTTCTTCTCAATGAATAACAAAGTCTGCCGATACAGTACGGATGCACTTGATCAATCTCGCACCCCCCTCCTTCGTCAAAAGAAATTAGCAATAAAAAAAAATCAAATTGCTATCGATCGGTCTACATTGATTTCCTTTAGTCTTTTCCACTGCAATTACTCCTTGCCCAACAGCCGCTGTTTTCTAGTGATTGCTGGACGGCCAGCTGGGGTTACAGCCACACGCGGTGCTTCTCTCCCTTTCTTTCTCTCTCCCTCTTCCTCACTTCACGATCAAGGTCAACTTTAATCAACCTCAGGGCCTGTCAGCGGCTGCCGACAGCCTCAGCTGTGGCCCGCTCTCAATTCCTCTGGGCCTCGACGCGGCGGCTTACAGAATTACCCTGCTGTTCATCAAACACCCAGTTGCTCATTACTCACCGCACTCCTCCTGGAGTCATTAAGAGCCTGGGATACAAAGGACTTATAGCATCCAGACGAATGTGCTTCGCTACACTGTTGGGCTCACCACGGGAGGAGAACGTGCACTCATGAGCGATGCTGTTGTCGTTAGTTTGGAGCGTGATGTCGACGTCGACAGCTCTAGTTAATCTCTGGCGTTTGGTGTTATGCAAGGTGCTTGTTTTGGCCAGACCACATTATTCACAAATAGAGCCATCCCATCAAAAACTGACTCTTGGACTAATGGATTCAAAATACAGATACATTATTATTAGATGATCCTGTTGAATCATCAGTGTTTGAATGTGTGGAAGCTGTTTGTAGTGGAACCTCTGATATTGATGTGTTCTTTGCCATTTAAAGGAATATTCTTGGGCTACGTCTACATTAAGTCTACATTAATCCGGATAGATTTGAAAAAGGAGTTTTCATTTCAAAAAACTACATTCACCTTACAGCGCATGCGTGAATACTAATAAAATTCCCTAGACAATCAAGTTATCACGCAATTGTTCTGGCAGGATCATTTTATTTAGCAAAATATTTCACCATTCGCTGATGCGTCCAGGTTAGACTCACTCACCATTATATGTTTGGTCTAGAACGCAACTGCTCCAGTCTCATGTTTTGGCACAGGACAGCAAATGCGAGTGAATTTTCTGTCATCTTTGCAGGACTGTGATTATGAAGAGTGTGCAAAGTAACATATTTTAGCAACTGTGTGAAAGTGAATAGCACATAACAGGCACGAATATGGGTTAAATATGCGTCACATGACTAAACTTACATAATTGGTTTTAAATACCTGCGTTTTCACAGTCCACACTATAATGCGAAAACAGCGTTTTCAAATGTATCCACATTGGAGAGTGTTTTCACAAAGCTCTGTTTTTGTTGCTAAAAACGCCATCTCAGTGTGGACAGAAGGCCAAAACGGTGAAGGCTCAATCCCAATTAACCCCTTGCCCCTACCCCTTGGCCCTACCCCTCCGTTTTGCGCGTTCACGTCAAGGGGTAGGGTGTCCCGATTCTTGTTTAGATCGAGGGGTAGGGCTAAGGGGTAGGGCTACATAGCCCTCGAAGCGGAGTTCCCTTTCGAAGGGAACTCAACAATACGTCATCGACGTTATGGGGAACGCCTCAGGCGTGACAGGTGTCTGAAATCAAGTATCAACTCACAGCAATCATGTTGACCGGCGACAGCCCGTGCATCATCAGCTCGAATGATGAGCGCGCAACCTGGATGTATAAAAAGGGTGCCTTGAAACCGTGACAACATCTTTTCGTCTTCAGGGACTGTTTGTCTGTTTTGAGTAATCAACAATGAAGCGTGCAGAGAAAAGGAAAAATACTTTCCGCAAGTGTGCCGACCCGTGTCCCAGATATTTGACACCGGAGGATTCACACGATCTGTGCGTTTTTCTGCCTGGGAGAAGAGCACGCGCGGGGAGTTCTCGAGGGAGCTTCCTGCGCAAACTGTGAGCGTTTTTCTCTGAAAACGTTCCGTTCTCGTCTGTCCCACTTCTCAAGTGAAGTGGGCGCGGCATCTGAACCCCGCGGTTTCGGTCCCGCTCGGGCTGAGGCTCAGCGGCGCTTGAGCTTGTGGGGCTCTCAGATGGAGCTGGCAGATCAGCTGGAGAGGGGCGTTTACCTCGCGGATGATCTGCCAGCTGACGAGGATGAGTTACAGGTCGATGTAGAGGAGGTTCTTTCTCTTTCTGATGGATCTGTGACTGGTTCTCTTCGGGCCGGGCAGCAGTCGGCTACCGATGATATCAGTCTGGTTAGGACTGAAATATATATATAAAAAAATAATAATAATTCCGACCCTGCCATCCAAGCCGCTTAAGATTACATCAGGCGGCTATGGTGGCCACGGAGAGGCATCTGTAGCTCAACCAGGCTGACATCGGGAAGAGAGAAAAGAAGCCTTTCTCCTCGATTAGCCGGTTTCGCCTTTTGAGCTTTTCGGACCTTCCGTTGAGACGGTGGTCGAGAAGTTCAGGGAGACGAGGGCGCGCTCTGCGGCGTTTAAGAGCTCATGCCGCGGAGGTCCTCAGCCCAGCCCAGGCAGCCGGGAGGGCCTGGTCCGTCGTGGTCTGAGGATCACAGACAGACTCGGAAGGCCAGTGTCGCTTCCCGTGCACCCCCTCCTCCTAGCTGGGGGAGCAGTGCGCGCAGGAGGTCTAACTCCCGCGGGAGGCAGGATCTCAGGGAGGTGATCCAGAGTAAACGTTCTCGGACTGAACGTTAGACATCACCTCCCTGGATCTTGTCTCCTAACCATTGTGAAACAGTAGAACTCAGGTTTCTGAGTTCCTGAGTCCTGGTGTGCTTCATTCTGCACGCTGCAGGTTTTTATGTTGAGTGAAAATGTTTTTTCTGCGCAAATAACGTTTTCTCTTCTTTTTCAGAACTCGTCTCCTGTACAGAGCCGGGGACATGTTTGGCAAGCAAAGGTAATGTATTGTAAGGTGAGCTGAGCTCCCACATGTGGTCGCCAGGTAACAGGCCTCACCAGGCCTTCCAGGCTATGAGCTTCCATATGTCAGGTCACAGGCCTTATCCAGCCTTCCTGAATATGAGCTCCCACATACTGTGGTCGCCAGGTTACAGGCCTCACCGGCCTTCCTGGTTATGAGCTCCCACATACTGGGTTTCAGGTTATAGGCCTTACTAGGCCTTCCTGAATATTAGCTCCCACACACGGTGGTCGCCAGGTTACAGGCCTCGCCAGGCCTTCCTGGTTATGAGCTCTCACCTTCTATGCTCGCCAGGTTACAGGCCTCACCCGGCCTTCCTGATATGAGCTCCCACATACTGTGGTCGCCAGGTTACAGGCCACACCCGGCCTTCCTGATAAGAGCTCCCACATACTGTGGTAGGCAGGTTACAGGCCTTACTAGGCCTTCCTGAATATGAGCTCCCACACACGGTGGTCGCCAGGTTACAGGCCTCGCCAGGCCTTCCTGGTTATGAGCTCCCACATGCTGTGGTCGCCAGGTTACAGGCCTCACCGGCCTTCCTGATATGAGCTCCCACATACTGTGCTCGCCAGGTTACAGGCCTCACCCAGCCTTCCTGGTTATGAGCTCCCACATGCTGTGGTCGCCAGGTTACAGGCCTCATCGGCCTTCCTGATATGAGCTCCCATATACTGTGGTCGCCAGGTTACAGGCCTCACCCGGCCTTCCTGGTTATGAGCTCCCACACACGGTGGTCGCCAGGTTACAGGCCTCGCCAGGCCTTCCTGGTTATGAGCTCCCAAACACTGGGTATCAGGTTATAGGCCTTACCAGCCTTCCTGATAAGAGCTCCCACATATTGTGGTAGCCAGGTTACAGGCCTCACCGGCCATCCTGGTTATGAGCTCCCAAACACTGGGTATCAGGTTATAGGCCTTACCAGCCTTCCTGATAAGAGCTCCCACATATTGTGGTAGCCAGGTTACAGGCCTCACCGGCCTTCCTGATATGAGCTCTCACCTTCTGTGCTCGCCAGGTTACAGGCCTCACCGGCCTTCCTGGTTATGAGCTCCCACACGCTGTGGTCGCCAGGTTACAGGCCTTGCCAGGCCTTCTTGGTTATGAGCTCCCACATACTGTGGTCATCAGGTTACAGGCCTTACTAGGCCTTCCTGAATATGAGCTCCCACATACCGTGGTCGTCAGGTTACAGGCCTCACCAGGCCTTCCTGGTTATGAGCTCCCACATACTGTGGTCGCCAGGTTACAGGCCTCACCGGCCTTCCTGATATGAGCTCCTACACACTGTGGTCGCCAGGTTACAGGCCTCACCGGCCTTCCTGATATGAGCTCTCACCTTCTGTGTTCGCCAGGTTACAGGCCTCACCGGCCTTCCTGGTTATGAGCTCCCACATTCAGTGGTCACCAGGCTTCAGGCCTCCTAGGCCTTACTGGTTATGAGTTGTCACATGTCAGGTTTCAGGCCTCACCAGGCCTTCCTGAATGTGATCTCCCACTCACTGTGGTCGCTTGGGTGTGGTTGTGAGCTGTCACCTGCCAGGTTGTAGGCCTCATTAGGCCTTCCTGAATGTGAGCTCCCACACATTTTGACTATCAGGTTACAGGCCTCATCTGGCCTTCCTGATTATGTTAAAACCATACTTATGGTAAGTCACACGACGGTACGTCTTGTGTACTTTCTAAAATCCATTTTTATGGTAAGGGTCATGCGCTGTACGCTTCGGTCCCTTTCTATGTGGCCCAGACTTAAGTCTTTCACCTCGGGTCCCACTCTAGATGCGTCCTGTCGTCAAAGTTTGCTACGACAGACGCCTTTTTCTGATCCAGGTCTTCCTGGATTCGGATTTACTAAGTACATGCACTTTTGTTTCATATACTTTCTAAAATCCATATTTATGGCCTTTCTGAAACTAGCCCCACATGGTTGTCAGGTCACAGGCCTTGTCAGGCCTTCTTGATATGAGCTCCCTCCTACTGTGGTTGTCAGGTTACAGGCCTCGCCGGCCTTCCTGGTTTTGAGCTCCCACATTCAGTGGTCACCAGGCTTCAGGCCTCATTGGCCTTCCTGGTTATGAGTTGTCACATGTCAGGTTTCAGGCCTCATCAGGCCTTCCTGAATGTGAGCTCACACAAATTTTGACTATCAGGTTATAGGCCTCATCTGGCCTTCCTGGTCATGTCAGAACCATACTTATGGTAAGTCACATGATGGAGCATCTTGTGTACTTTCTAAAATCCATTTTTATGGTAAGGGTCATGCGCTGTACGCTTCAGTCCCTTTCTATGTGGCCCAGACCCAAGTCTTTCACTTCGGGTCCCACTCTAGATACGTCCTGTCGTCAAAGTATGCTACGACAGACGCCTTTCTGGCTAACTTCTTAATTCTGATCCAGGCCTTTTCTGGACTCAGAATAACTAAGTACATGCACTTTTGTTTCATGTACTTTCTAATGTAGCCCCCACGTGGTGTGGTTGTCAGATTGCAGGCCTTATCAGGCCTTCCTGGTTATGAGCTCCCATATTCTGGGTATCAGGTTATAGGCCTCTCTGGCCTTCCTGATATGAGCTCCCACACACTGTGGTCGCCAGGTTACAGGCCTCTCCGGCCTTCCTGGTTATGAGCTCCCATATACTGGGTATCAGGTTACAGGCCTCACCGGCCTTCCTGATATGAGCTCCCACATACTGTGGTCGCCAGGTTACAGGCCTCACCGGCCTTTCCTGATGTGAGCTCTCAGGTACTGGAGCTCCCCACATAGAGGGTAATCAGGTCTTTGGCATCAGCAGACCTTCCTGGTTTTTGATCCCTCTCTTACTTCCTCAGTGTTCAGGACGAGCACTGGGTAGACCCATGGATTGAGTGGACGACTTCCGTCTTTTCTTGAGGTTGAGTTACACTCTCCAGGTAGTCCCGTCTCTGTGATCCGGAACTGAATGATTTCTGCCAGCTTTGCAGGCCTTCAGTTTTGGATGCCTTTTCCAAGGCAGTTTCCAGAGGCTCTGTCTCGGACAGACAGGCAATGGCCAGACTGTGCGTCTTAGTATAGATCACCAGGCCAGCCTGGTGGCATGTCAGGAGGCATGCTCTCCTGAATAGTGACTGGCTGGGAATCCCTTGAGTCCCCTAGCCACACTCCCTAGAAGGGACCCCTTCTATTAGGAAGTTGTGGTCCTAAGCCTTTGAGCTGGCCCAGATATACCTCCCATGAACTATGTTCTGGCAGTTTCTCGGTTCATTAGCTTGGGCTATGACCGGTAGGGAGTGCTGTCACTGACAGCCCAACGTGACCTAGGGTGAGTGGTTTTAGTGTCCTTTGTATTACTGGTTCTGACAGTTGTCACTGCCATTGGGCATGCACTCCCCTCAGTATGGCGGCGTGGGTATTTCGTTCCCCATAACGTCGATGACGTATTGTTGAGTTCCCTTCGAAAGGGAACGTCTCAGGTTACGACTGTAACCTATGTTCCCTGAGAACAGGGAACAAGACAATACGTCTCCCTGCCATACCTCGGGGCCTGCCTGCAACAGTCCCTTCAGACGATAGGATGTTGTCACGGTTTCAAGGCACCCTTTTTATACATCCAGGTTGCGCGCTCATCATTCGAGCTGATGATGCATGGGCTGTCGCCGGTCAACATGATTGCTGTGAGTTGATACTTGATTTCAGACACCTGTCACGCCTGAGGCGTTCCCCATAACGTCGATGACGTATTGTCTCGTTCCCTGTTCTCAGGGAACATAGGTTACAGTCGTAACCTGAGACGATTTTTCAGAGGCACACTCCAAACGGAGGGCTACGTGAAAGTTCGCAGAATACATCGCGAATCACTGGCGAGATGGCTTCACAAACAGTTAAACATTTAAATTTAGCGCCAGATGACACCACCGTGCACTTTATTTACTCTTATAATAATGATATAGTCATTTAAATTAAGAAATTGTATAATAAATTACCTTTCCGAAACAGAAAAGACATACATTTCGAGGAAGGAACGTTATAAGCATCATGTTTCCTCAAAGTTAAGAGCAGCTGCGCTGATTGTCAGTCGTTGTCATGGAGAAATCCTGTAAAAACTCCGTAACGGCAGAGCCATCGCTGACGACTGATGACGTATCGGGTTCATGAAGGGTTTTTCCATTTCGTAGGGGAATATTTCAACCCCTTGGCCCTTGTAACTCTGTTTTAAGGGCCAAGGGGTACACTCGAAAACAAGGGGTAGGGCCAAGGGGTGAATTGGGATTGAGCCTTAAGCTCCCTAGACAGCATTTGTTTTGATTCTTTGTTGTTGATTAACACACAAAATCTATATAAAAAAGCAGCTCTTCCATAATTTTCTTTTTAAAAAATGTAATTAAAAAAGAGGATACAGTGAACACTTACCAATGTAAGGGAATGGGGCCATTTTTTTGTGGAGTTAAAAGCAGAAATGTGAATTTTATCATTTAATTTATTATAATTTTATAAAAACATTTACATTAATTCTTCTGTTAAAACCTTTGTATTATTTGAGTTATAAAATTGTTTAAATAATTTTTACATTCATTTTAGGCTTTATGGTTCTGCTTTGACATAGCGACAGTCGTACAATTTAATATGAATTTGCACAGAAAAGGTTCGCAAATGATTTTTTCACACTGAAATCTTGATAACATGCAATATATTGGTCTTGTGTCTACACTAGAAACAGTGAGTATTTTTACGTTTATGGATTGATCTTATTCACTTTCAATGTAAGTGTCTCACTGTAACAGATTTTTTGCTTTTTTAAGAAAAAAAGGGGAAATTAATGGAAATGAATTGTTGTGGTATAATTATTTTTATTTAAAAAATGCTGTTGATCGAGCTTAACTTGTATTGGACCCATAATATTCCTTTAACTTTGTTTCATTTGAGTGTCAGCTGTGGTTAACTGTATAGTTTATACTTTTTGTTTTGTATTAATATACTGTCCATGTTTAGTATCACTTATAGAATATGATTAGTCCGCAGTGCCTTGATGTCATATGGAATAAACATGAAATATTTCAGGCTTGCATTAGCTAGTCAAGAACTTATCTTGCATATGCCCTCTAAGAATTTTTTGTGTTGCTTTCCTTTTATGGTACTCAACCTGTCCTACGCGACTGAATCTTTCACATGCGCTGCCACTCACAAACAGACAAAAAGAATCTGTAAAAGATTAAAAGCACTGAACTTCCTTTATATGTCTTTATGACTGATTGACACAGCCTGCAGTCAGTGCACAATAAGAGGCAGACATGAGGGTCACCTCCACAGAGTTTTCTACAGTGTTAAGAGCTGCTGTTGTTAACCATGTTGACTATGACAGAGACCATAGATATGAGCTTAATGCACTAGCTTTGATGCTACTCATAAACAGTGTTGGGAGTAACTAACACGTTTTTTTAAAAGTATTTTTCAGTTGAGTGATTAGCTATTTGTTGCTGCGGAACAGCGGCACAATTAGCTTTGTATCACATGATAGTGCCATCATCGTAAATGTAGCAGGCCATGTCTAAATAGGGGGGGGGGGGGGGGGGGGGGGGGGGGGGTTGGGTAGTGTTCAAAATCAACACCATTTTGAATTGAACATGTGCTATTATTTACCTGATTCTGTAATTCATAATTGAATGTGAAGAGACAAGAAACATTTTGCGTTTTTTACATATTAGACATGTGACTGTAGCCTATGCATATTTTAAAATAAAATATTATAAAAAATATTTTAAATTAATTTACTTAAGTTCTTATTTCTTTTTCTTTATTCCCTTAAATCCCTTTTAATCCTTTAATTATGTAATTCCTTAAAATAAAAAGACCAATAACATCCCTCCGATTATTCACATTATTCATGACAGGCCGTAATGTTTTGGCTCATCAGTGTGTGTGTGTATATATATATATTATTATTTATTATTATTATTATTATTTTTTTAAGACAGTATTGTGTTTATTATTAACCAAACCTCATAACTTCCCATTTCACATGTGGTCCAGAACCTTCTGCCCAGTAAAAGAGACATAACCGCAGTCCACTCCTGAAGCCTTCCCCAATGAAAATGTCACATCTTCTTCACATTAATTTATTCGTTTATAACAAAGTGGATTTATGGCTGCCCTACTACTTCTGGGTTAACAGTGACAGCACATGCTGAGTTACTACTTTCCTCCTGAACAACTCCACACGTGCACCTCCAACACTTTTATGTGATTCTCTTTGTTGTGGCCCGAGAGGACGGGATACTCAGCTCTTGGTGTGCTGTCTCCCCTTCAACAGCCATCAGCTCTGTGAGCCCTGACCCGCCAATTTACTGTGACACTGCCAGTCTGCTGATATCACTCATAAAACGCGCTGATTGACGACAAGGGAAGAAGGTGCGTTCAGTCATCACGAAATGTCATAAATTCACACGCACAC